GTACCCTGGTCCTCTCTAGGTATACATGTATTTTACTGTCTTAGCCATAGTTTTGTTTCTCTGCAGTCTGTGCAGCTTATGTGACGTGACGTACTCTGCTGTGGTGCCTCATGCATGCTCACATAAGCAGTGACACAATCACCAAAGTTAGAAAACATATTTGTAACAGAAATTGCTTGGGTATGTAATTAATTTGTGTGCAGCTACACCACTGGTCCCGGGAGAATGTACAGACACTATTTTACAACTCAAGACGACACAAACCACTGCATCACAGGCCCTTACAAAAGGAAGTGTGGGTACCGCAGCCTGTAGTGGTCGACGTACGTAAATAACACTTTCAGTATTGACAGAGTACACGTCTAGAATACGGGAACTAAATTTCAATATTCAATTCAAAAACAAAAGCAAAATAAAAAATAGGTTTGACTCTCCCTTTAGCTTCATTGTTCTACAGAACAAAGCTATTCCTCTAGTGGGGCATACATGTTGCATGTGCCTATTATACAAATGTGTATGTTGATTTTTGAGGCATTTTCATGTGACTGGTGAGCTCGTATAGGTATCTGTGTATGACAGCCGTGCCTGTGGCGACAGCCTACACTCGTTTTTACTTTCACAGCATGAGCAGATGATCGCAAGAACTTCGACAAAGGGAAAAAAATGTCAACAAACCCATTTTATTGCCCTCAATGGTTCAGGTGCGCTTTTCTTATAAACATGTGGCAAGCAAGCGAGACCCTGGTGCACAGCTCACCACGTATTGTGCCATCTATTGCAGAAGGAGCACAGCCTTATTGATTTGCCTACCAAATATGGAGACCAGTTTATACACTTCCTATTTTTCCACTGTAACATGTACTTTCGATGTTGGCAACATTGCAGAACTCCTCCCATGCGATCAGGTCGCCATAAGCTCACACAAAGTCATGCAGATCAACAGCGCCTGGTGTCGCTTCATTGAGGCTGAAATGCCAAACAACACTGCACGTAAGCAAATTTTGCGAGGTCTTGGCATGCCTATTGACAGAACCACATCAGCAAGCAGTTAGGCAGTCTACAGAACATCTATCGAAATTACAGGCACTTTATATGTCATGTGCTGACGTAGTTGCCAACAGAAGCATTAGCAAAAAGTATTCTCTTGAAGAAAAAGAAGTGATTGTCCTATTATCATTATTCAACAATGTACACAGCAATGGTTGCACTTATGCCTTTTGGCAAATACCCAAGTGCCTGACTTGTGAAATAAGCGGTGCTGCATTTTTTTTACATCTGCTTTCTCACGTAGTTTAAGGGTCTAAAACAGTCGCATATTACTAACATGTATTTTGGGAGTGCTTTTAAAGTCTCTTCGCTGTTGAGAGAGAGCAAACATTTTGTACTCAATGAATGTTCATCATGGACGTTATATTTATTCATTGCTATGAGAACTTCATTCTTCGGGGCTTCCGTTATGGAGTGGTTCAACTGTAAATGTGCTCCTCTGTGTTCCAGCTGCTGGGGTGCCCGCTACGTGCAGTCATGAAGCAAGCAAGCAAGGACCTTGAAGCCAGCCACAATGAAGCATTACAGCAGCAGCACCAGAGGGGAAAGGACCACAAGAAGCTTCGATTCCAGTGCGGTGATCAGTCAGAAGGGCCGGCGCAGTATTGGAATAATGTAACCAATTTCCCAGCTCTTTCCGCAGAACCTATGCTTGTTGCAGCCCCTGCATCAACATGCAAGGAAATGTGGTCGGACCTAGCACGGAAGTCTGCTTCTGCTACCATACAATGTCACAGTGCGATGTCAGCGGCACCTAAGGTCGCAGAAACAGACACTACTTGTAGATACCCTTTACTGCCATTAACTTCAGTGGCAAGCACTATAGGGATCCAGCTGTGACTGTTTTCGCTCAAGTACAACGGCGCCCTGTGCGTGCTCCTGCACTTGTCGGTGGTGTGTGGATGCAGCACAAAGTGAAGAAGACTGGGCGTACTGCCGTGCCACTGTGCTCTGTTGCTTTTGAGCAGAGCCCAGCTTCTGACTGTGGACCATCCGACGCCTGCGGCGTAACATCCACGGTGAGCCCCCAGTCAGAAGGTGTGGTTCTGCGCAAGGGCAGCAGTGCGGCCGACACCAGCGCTTCCTCACCTCGTGGTGAAGACCCTGAACAGGAGCAGAAAGCAACATCAGCAAAATTGTCACACAGCCATATTTGCACAGGTGGAGGCAATCTTTCTGTAGGGAGCAAGTTCAGTACTTATGAGGAGTTTAAAGCTAGCTTTTAAGGATGGATAAGTGAAGGGTTCCATCCGATGCGTATTGAAAGATCAGAAAAAAGCTCATTGTGTAGTGAGAAAGATTTAAACAAAGCAGACTTTCCGTATGTTCGAATTAAGTTTGTCTGTTGCCATGCAGGGTATCCAAGTCCGAGGGGACAAAATATTCGGTCCAATCAACGCTTAATTCAATGGTACAGGTTGCAACGTTGAACTTAAGCTTGCGCTGCGGGTTTCTCTACAGCCCTATTATGAAGTAGTAAATTTAGTGGACGTGCACAACCATAAAATAGGTTTCGAGACTTTTGTATGGTACGATAATAATCGTGCATTACGGGCTTCTTGAAAAGAGCAGCTTCAGGACTTGATTTCTTGTAATGTGAAACCTAAAGACCTGAAGGATGTCATTCTGAAGAAAACGAGAAAACACGTTACTTCTCGTGATATTACAAACTTGAAGCATAGAACAGTTCGAAAAATTCAAGGCAATGCTTATCATGGAGCCCTTCTGTTAGAAAAAAATCAGCGAATTGTTTTCTGAAAGGTCTGGTTGGAAGGTTCATATTGAAAAGAATACAGAAAATGGTCTCTTGTACGTATTGCTTCAATCAGAGCATATGGTCCAGTTACTAGAAAATACCCTGAAGTGTTGTTCTTTGATGGTACATATAAAGTTGATAAAGAAGGGTATATCTTGCATTTGATTCTGTGTGAATATGGAAGAAGCCATGGGAGGTCTGCATGTTATGCATTTGTTTAGCAGGAGACATCAGAAATATTAGTCTTTCCTAGAGACATTCCTTTGTTTGAATCCTGCTGTAACAGGAGAAGTGCAAAATTGTGTTAATAGACTAAAATTTAAATGAAATGAATATAATTAAGCAGCTGCTGCCCAAATGTAGAATCTTGTTGTGTTCGCGGCACGTGTTAAAGTATTTACACACCAAAGTGATGCAGCATAAGTCAAACAGTCTAGATAAGAAGTATGTTAAAGATATAATTACGAAACTGGTGTTTGCACATACTTGTAGATGTATATCAAGAGCACTTGCAGGACTTGGAAGAAGCACTTGAAGATTACAAAGCCCTCCTGGAGTACTTCTATAAAAATTGGCACAGCTGATAGAGCATGTGGGTTCATACTTATCGTGCAAATGCATCTAATTTAGGAAATAACATTAACAATCGAATGGAAAGCCATAATCAAAAGTTAAAGAATTATCCAACACGTGACATGCACTTAGTGGAAGCAGTAAAAGCTCTGATAAGGTATGTGACCCATGATGCTCTCGCACTCAGCCAGATGCACTCGCACGTAGTAGGTAATTTGAGAGAACTTTCACCGCCCCCCCCCCCCGTTTTGGGGGGATGATTGAAGCTAGCCACGAGTCTTGTCGGCGGCTCTTAGTTCAAAGAATGAAATAGAAAGAACCAAGCAGCATTTCATACCACGTTCGGGTGCACGTTAAAGAACCCTAGGTGGTCTAAATTTTCGGAGCCCTCCACTATGGCGTCTTTCATAATTATATGGTGGTTTTGAGACGTTGAACCTTACATATAAAAAAAGCATTTCATACCAGATTTTAATGCACTGAAATCATCTTTTCTACTGTGGACAGTTTCAGTAACTACTTTTTCTGGGACTCGACTATGTTATTTCATAGAGTTACAGAGTTGGCAGAATATTGCACGGGTGCCTCGAGCCTTATCATACATTCACTTATTTCTTAGTGAACTAAGCCCTGTAGATAATACTGACGTTTAGGCATTCTTAAACTTTCACTCATCATTCGAACGAGAGAAATTTTTTGCCTTTAGCGTTCCTTTCAGCTAAAGAAGATTTGTTCCTTTGTGAATGAATGCCTGACTTCATTTTCTAAGCTGTGCTATGTGGAAACACATACTTCGGCAAACTGAAAGCTAATGCGGGCAGCTGATGAAAATTTACTTTTCCAACTGTAAATAAACTTTATATGATTGTATTACTATGTAAGATGTTCTTTATGCATTAACAAATAGTTCATATTCTTAACATTCCCTAGAAAACAGCATCATTTCTAGTAAAATTCTAAATGTTGGCTATGGCAAAGTTTGATTCCATTAGGCTGGCTGCAGTTTGAGGCAGCAGTTCAACATGGCCTGTATTACTTTCATACTGTCTAAGTCTCTGGGCGGGGCCTGACCGCTACAGAGCGCGTTCTCGGGTGGCGGATAGAGAAACGTTCCATGATGTGAAGTTGCACAAAGCTGCTTCTTATCATGGTACAGGCAGTTATGCCCGCGGATCAACCGGCATATAGTCATGGTTCATAGTAGTAACAACCGTATGTTTGATGCTGTTAGGGGCCAGAGGTTTTTACACATCGCCTGAGTTTGTCAGTGCTTATACTTTGACATTGTGATGTGCGTGTAACATCAGTGCAGTGCTCATGTTGGTTACCAGTCACGACACCATAACAAGGACCTGCTGCCAGCCATCATGTCCTGGCCCTGACCTGCCTTTGGGAAGCTGACTCAGCCGTCTAGGTTGGCGAGCGGGTTCCTGCTTCTGGTCACCAGCCACAATGGTGCAGTGACGAGCCACCATGGTGCATGCATGGATAGATCTGTCTGATATAAAGTGTTAATTCAGGCTTGTTAATACATCGTGAGCATGCTATAAACAGCGATACAACTAGACAAAGACAGAAGAAACAGAAGCTGCAAAGGACATCCTGTCTCTTGCAGCTCTATCTATCAGATGTTCTGATCTTTCTGCTCACATTTGGACGTTGTTTTCACACTATGACTGAAGCGCTTCTGTCCATGACTTATGAGTGAACTGGGCTTCTCATCTGCTTCAGCCAACAAATACACCTGCAAAGAGTGAGTCTGCCACTGTGAATGACACCAGCATTGGAACTACTAGCGACTGTTTTTGTTTCGAATGTTCAGCAGAACTTCGTTTAATTACGAAGCTTTGCTTGTCTTAGTAGTTTGGTAATGGGTGCAGCTTCAGTGTGGTTGTTTTGCTTTTATTTAAAATTACTCTTGTTTTAAATGTTTAACATTTGTGTGTGAAGAACTGGCTCATCCTTTCCTGAAACAAGACCCTGCCTCAGTAAAACGATCCTGCATCGCAGGCATGATGGCTGAATGGCTGCAGCTGCTTCAATGCTGCCCAAGGATGTAGTGTTGATGTTTGAGAGCAGCAGCCATAGGCCGGTAGAAAATGTGGAACTTATTTAAAGTCACTCAAGAAATACGTTTCACCATGGGAACTCACTCGGACTCAAATTCACTGAAATTTAGCTCAACAGAACTAATTGGGACTCGCTAAACTGTTTGTCAACCACTCTCACTCAGGCTCAAACTTACCAACATATTACTCAGTTCGGCACGCTCAGACTCGCGATTTGACCTGTGTCTGAGTGACCAAACAGCTGTCACTGGTCGTAAAATCCGATAAGAATATTTTTATGAAATATGCAGCTCACATCAGAAATTTTTACCCCCTTATCTCCTAACTTGCGCCTCTGTTCAATACCCGCATGAACGGTTGTGTGTTGACGTATGCTTGAACAGACTTGATTACCAATGTAAGCAAATATGACGTCGATAGTAATGCTGGTACGCGGGTATATAGGAACATAGGTTAGAAATAAAAGGTGGTGCTCACTAAGGCTCACCCAAGAAATACACGTTGAGCTTAGGGCTCACCACCTCAGACTCGCAAATATTTTACTCACTCGGATTCAAGCTCATTAAAATTTTCTTTATCCAGACTCACTCAAACTCGTGTAATATTACTCAGCTGTGCTTACTCAAACTCACGGCTCGATTATAGTCCAACTGAGCCTGTCCCTAGAAACGTCCAACGTGCCATGCTCGAATCAGCCAATCGGTGATACAATGGCTGTGATGAGTAATTTTTGAGCTTGTAGCGCAATTTGTCGAGTGAAAGGAAAGCAATTTTCAGCTGAATTTGAACATTTATTGAGAAATTCTGGCCTCGTGCTGCGCATTATTATTTAGCTCACATATTCCCGGGAGTCTCGACTACCGATTGGATGCGTTTTCCGACCATATTCAATAAGTATTGCAGGGCCCCTTAAACTTTGAAGTGGTTTTGCGGCAGTGCGAATTCTCTTGGTTAGGTGCTTTCACGGCATAGCATTCTATGCTGCAGTGAAACCAACTTTACAAGCTGTTATGTGCAGAATAATGTTAACTATTTCTTCATTGCAAATACTTAAAAATTTTCAACAATTTAAAATGGAATCGAAGCGAACTTGAATACAGTACTGTTCCTTCAAATATTCAAAGCATTCGAATATTTGCACAAGCCTGCTTTTTTTATAATATATTTGTCTTTTTTGCTCTCTCTGTGCAATTGGTTTCTCCCCCTATTTTTTCCCCTTTTTCCTCTTTTTAATGGTTTCCCATCTTCTTTTTCACTCTCTTCTTTGCATCCTCCCTTGCCTTTCCCACTTCTTATACTATCTAAAGCTATGCTTTCTTCTGTCACCTTGCATAAATAGCTGAAGAGTTATTATGCTCAGCTTTCAATTGTACGTTCGCTGGTTCGAATATTGCCTCGGGTAAGCAAAAAAAAACCAAGAAGTATTCTTGTTTTCTTTCCCTATGCTACTAAAAAGTGGTTCATTGCAGATGGGGCCCGTCTTCTAAAGCTGCACAGGCTCGGAGGCGCCTGTTAGCTTGCCAGTATCCATTCAAACATTATGACTGGCAGTGCAAGGACCCAATCTGCAATAGACAATCATTGGCGTACCTGCAAAATGTGGTACGCGTCCAGCAGAAACACAAGAGGTGCCTGGGTGTGCTGCAGGGAACACGCATCAGCGTTGCTGGGACAGACAGTTTGCGTTTGAGAAGAGGCGCATGCACGGACTGAGGATATGAAAAATGCGTCGCGTGTGCGCTCGGGGCTCTCTCTGTGGCCTTCGTTACGGCCAGTCCTGTCTTCTGTAAAAGCGCATCTCGACGCCTTGTGTTTTTACACCTGTAAATGTGTAAATAAATTGTGTGTTTCTGTCGTCAAGAAGCCTCTCAAAGGTGTCTCTTTCCCCGGCAACTGGGTGAAAGCATGTGCCCCTAACCTCGGTCACATCAAGGTGTGCTTCCCAAAAGTATCGCTGTTGTATGTATTGTGTGCTCACAATTGACAACAATTAAGGCATGGCTGAACTTGTTGCTGGTTTATCACCAGCCTTTTTTGCAATATGTGCCTGTTTCAAATATATGAAGGCAAGGTTTTCTTTTTTTTTTCAAGTCCTAATTCGTTCGAGATAAAACTACAGCGAATTCAAGGCGCTCCTGTTTGGAACATTTAAGTAGAATTTCCAGCTGCCCCTTTGCATAGTTGCCACTGCAATTGAGGCATCTATTTTGGCCTTGCAGCAGCTTCTTTTTATGCCCCCTCCCCCCCACACATTGCAGACAGCCAAGTCAATTCTGTATGCCACTCCCTCTCTGTAGATTGTTGTCTACACAACCTGCTTCAATATTTCTATACTGTTTTTACACTTTGCTGTCACCAGTGTTCCCACCTTTTCTCAAACAAAAAACAGGCCCTTCAAAGAGGGAAAGAGGGAGGGCCGAAGATACCAGGACATTAATGTCCAACAATGGACACCATGTCAGGTCTTTGGCATACAGTGCCATTTCAAATAATATTGCTTTACTTGAGTCAAATAAACTTGATATAAAAGCAAGAATGGCTTAGTGAGCTAACCTACTAGTCAAATTGCCGGCATAAAAATATTTATGGTTAGAATAATGCTTCGTTTCCCTCAATTAAAAAAAATTGGGGGACCCTTAAGGTTCACTTTTAAGAATTGAACACGATAATGATACCCTGGTCCTAGTGCGTACTTCAAGCACTTGGTGCATGAAATCTTTTCGAACCTGGTGTGCACTCAATGTGTGGTCTGAGGATTACTGTTAAGATTTGTATAATAATTGACATTTAGTTCATGTTATTGTTGGTATTGAAAGTGTATCAATTCGTGTATGTATTCCTTTATGCTCCCCTTACACAATGCCCTGTTGGGTCTGTAAGGTATTTTGAATAAATAATTAAATAAATAAATGTGCGCAGCAAAATGTGTGCGTTTTGTTATAGCTGGCCACCTTTTAACTAAGAAGTCCTTAAGATAATCGCATATTCTGATGCCAGATTAGAATGCACGCTTGTATCAAGCAATATTACTGTGATATTTCCACAGAGATTGCTCCTACTAATTATTTTACAAAGAGGACCAACGGGACGCTATGTGAGCGTCTACAGTGCCTCGCAATTACACTCCGTTTCATACATCATGTGCAACACTGTCAAAGCTAGCGCTCTTGTTTGCGCTGTGTACTGCCGCGACCGAAAAGTAGTGCGTCGCTTGGGGTGTACGAGAATCCATAAATGCTTCTCGGGAAAATTCTAAGCATACATATTTGTCATCAGGTTAAAAAACAAACGCCTGTGTTGTCGGATAAACAATCCAAATATTCGAGTTGGTAATTTATGTTTGTCGCTTTCGTATCAGGTTTTCGCTCTCCGCGCGACCCGCGCCGCCGTTTTTTTTTTTACTTGTTGTGGCAGCTTCGAAAAAATGGCGTCCAGCTCTGCGTCCTCGACCACCTCTCCTGCGCGAATTTTTTCGAAGCTTCGCACATCAAAGCTGTCAGTAAGTAAGTTGAAGTTACTGAAAAACAAACAAGATTTCGAATTGAACTCGCAAAAACTATTAAAAAAATGGCACCACGTGGATTCGAACCCATGCACTTCAAAACTACGGTGAACTCTCCGGAGCGACGCGTCAGACCACTCGGCTACAAAACCTTTTTTTATTTTGCTTTATTGCCTGTTTACAGGCGCATACATTATACCACAAGCAGAACAAAAACAAGCAGTAACAGTCCGACAGAAATTTAAAATTTCCTAAGTGCTGCCAAGGGCTCCACCCTCGACAACCGCTCAGGTAAAATCTCCTGAGTTTTTTGCAGTTAAACAAACTTGGCCATACATTCACGGAAATACATTCGTGCAGGCCGTGCATCCTGATCGCGATAGAAACCCGCCATATGGGCCCGCCATAAACAGTGAAGTCCACATAGCATAATCAAATCAAAAGGCATTCCCTCTTCGTCCACTATTGGCAGAAATCTTATACCATATGAATTTAAAGGTAATTCTTTCTGTAACGTCCTTTGAAGTACATCCCAAAAATATACTCCTTCCCAACAATGTAAGAAAACATGGTCAGTATTTTCCGGTTTTTTACAGATAAGGCAATTTGTCCCCCAAGGTAAGTAAAAACCACAGTCTGCTTGAAATGTCCTGACTGATAATGTACCTGTGTGCAGCTTGAAAAAGAAAGACTTCGCGCCAGGAGCCACTTGCTTTCTCTTCACTCGTTTAAGCACATCTTTCCCTTCACCTCCAGCGTACATGACACGGTACAGCGGTTCAGGTAAAACAACATCGCATACATCTTTGTACAACTTCTTTCGAGTCACTGAAAACAAATATTCATTGGAAAATCTAACAGATAAAAACCGTACACTTAGAATAACCTTTTTAAGATACCCGCGCACAGCACCGGTCATGTCATTCGTGCTAACCACTAATCCAGGTAACGCCCGCATCAGTCTCATTTGGCACACTGTACGTAAGAAAGGGTCCCTTGTGTGGCGAAAAAAAAAGAACCTATTTACGACTTGGCGTATGAAAAGATGTGTTAAACCAAGCTCTCCGTGTATCACTTTTCGAAACAGATTAGTTCGACTACATCTCTCCCAGTTCGAAGCCCACACGAACACTGCGAAGATACGATGGAACTTCTGTATGTTTGCCCTTGAACAATGCAATACTTGCATCACATACCAAAGTTTTGAGGCAAAGAAAAGATTACTGACAGTCGCCCTAGCAAACACTGACAGATGATTACCGTTGCATCTATTAGCTTTCGTCCGGATTTCTTTCGCTTGTTCTTGCCAGTAGTTCTCATTATCTTTATAAAATTCCAGTGGCACCCCTAAGTACTTGACAGGTGTGGTCACCCATTTAACATTGGCAAAATAGTCTGGTTTTGACGACCACTCTCCATGCCAGAAACCCAGACACTTTCCCCAATTTACTAGACTGCCAGTTGCCTTGCCGAACCTTTTAACCACACTGATGGTAGTGGTAACACTATCTTGATCGATACAACAAACAGCCACATCGTTGGCATATTCCAAAGTTTTAACTTCGGATTCTTGTAATCTAAAGCCACGAATGCAACTGTTTTGAGCTATTGCTAAGCACAACGATTCTATATATAAACTGAAAAGTAGGGGGCTCAGCGGACAGCCCTGACGGACAGAACGCTTTATGTTAATTGTATCTCCTAGCGTCTTATTGATTACCAGTCGGGTTGTGCAGTTCCGGTATGCCATGGATACTCCATCTCTGATTACAAAACCAACGTTGACATGGTCAAAAATGGCAAGCAGAAGGTTGTGGGAAACACAATCAAAAGCTTTCTCGAGATCAATCTGTAGAATGGCTACCCCTACTTGATTGGCATCGCTACACTCGAGCACGCAGCGCATCTTGTGTATATTAGCCACAATGGAGCGTCCCATAATCCCGCATGTTTGGTGAGGCCCTACTAGTTCTTTGATTACCCCTTGAAGTCGCCGTGCTAGTACTTTCATTAAAATTTTGTAATCACAATTAGTTAGTGATATCGGTCTATACGAAGAAACTAATTTTAACTTCTCCGAGTGTTCTGTCTTAGGTATCAAAACTGTATGTGCTTCACTAAAGGACCTAGGGAGGCCATTAAGTTTATAAGCTTGATTGAAGACATCTGCAAGTACTTGGGATAATTCATTTTTGAACTCCTTATAAAACGAAGCACTAAGCCCGTCCGGCCCTGGAGTTTTACCAGGATTCATTTTATCAATAGCCCTTTCTACTTCCGTTGGCGTTATAGATAGCTCTAAAGCTGATTTGGTGTTATCTGACAACTTCGGCATTCTGCTAAGGAACTCCTGCTTAAATGCCTCTGAATCAATAGGCGTGGCAGCGAAGAGTCCTTCGTAGTGTTTGCCAAACGCTCGTCCTATGCTCTCATTGTCTGAAACTTCGATACCCTTGACTTCAATGGCATCTATGTGATTTCGTCTGGCATGACTCTTCTCTATTCCAAGCGCTCGCTTCGTCGGGCGATCATCCACAGTCATTGATGTTGCTCTGGCTCGCACTAGCGCTCCGCGATAGCGTTCCTCCTCATATACCTCTATCCTCTGTTTGATACTCCGCAAATCGTCACCATATACTCCAGGTTTTTCACATTCAAGAGCTGTTAGTCTCTCAAGTGTTCATCTAAGTTCTTTCTCATTCTTCTTAGATTCAAAAGATAAAACGCTAGATCTCTCTATTGCTTTTATTTTGATTCGCTGCTTGAATAGCTCCCATTGTTCTCCTATTTTGTCCATACACTCTATGTTAATATTACTTATTTCTTTAATAACTGATGCGCTAAACGACTCATCCCTTAAGAGGTTAGAGTTCATTTTCCACTGTTCCCAAGAAAAGGCGTTCCTTTCTTTTTTTGACCCGATATTGCATTTTACAAGACAGTGATCGGAAAAGGAAACAGGGACAACATTACAACTGCTACACTGAGATATCGCATCTGCCGTAAGGTAAAGTCGATCCAATCGGGCATTACTTGTGCCTTGAAAGTGGGTATACTTCACATCTCGGGAGCTATGCAAACACTCCGCTACATCTACTAATTCGTGTTCAATAATCACCTGTGCCAGGACATCACTGCTTCTATCTTTAACGTTGCGCCTGCTTGATCTATCACTTTCATTCAAGACACAGTTGAAATCACCCACCAATAATAGTTTCCTACCGGTACACATATGTTGTCGTAAATTCGAAAAAAAACCCGATCTTTTCTGGCCAATAGTTGGAGAGTAAACACATATATTGCGCCATTCAGTGTCACAATAAACAATATCACACCATACTACTCGGCCTGAAGAGCAAGAAAATACATTTTCTATGACTAATCTTGGCAGTTTTCTAACAAAAAGAACACATCCCCCTGATGTGCCTATGGCCTGGCTCACAGTGGCAAAATACCGTGATGTAAACTTAAGCACCATGCTCCCAGTCTCCCCCTCGCCTTCAACTTTCGTCTCCTGCACTGCAAGTACATCCAGATTTTCTTCCAATAACAACCGGTAGACTTGGCTTTGCTTCTTCTTTGAAGCCAAGCCTCTAACATTCAGCGTGGCGAAGCTAAATGATACTTGAGGCGCCATCACAACCATGTGGAGGAGTTAGGCCCGGAGCATGGCGCTTACTTGCACGTCTAGCGCTACGCTAGACGCCTCCAGGACCGTCCGACCGCCCGGTTTCACTGCACAGTAGAATTGAATTGTTCACAGCTTTTTTGTCCGTGGTGCTACCAGCTCTTGCTCTCATGCTGGTGCGTCTGCCAGTCGGCGTCTTTGCCGGTGGTTCTTCCACGCTACTTGCACTGTTCTTGTCTCCCGTCTTCACAGGTTCTTCGAATGGTCTTTTAATGGCTGAAACGGCACCGCTGGGCCAAGAGACGTGGCTGGCGTTGCACGTGTTTCCGTCTATCTTCATGTCGAAACGAACGCTACAGGAGGCCCCATCGACAACTTGGCCTTGCTGCGACGCATGGGCAGATGCTCCGGCTACTTCACAGCCTGCGTCTGTCACTGCATTGTCAGCTGTCTCGGTCTATACAGCTGCAGAACCTGGTCGAGTGTCCACGGGTGCCGGTGTAGATTCGTCTACTGATGTTGCAGATGTGCAGTTCAAATTTTCTGCGACTTGATCTCCGCAACCTTCAGCCGCGTCCTCTGCTTCTGTCACGTCCATAATGTGTTCTGACGCATCTTCGGCCTCCGCTGGCGCGGTCACTGCGGCGTACGAACGGACGCATGCCGCGTCTCCATGCCCGAAACGCCGGCAGCGAGAGCACCGAGGCACCTTACACTCGCGACGCACATGTCCTGTTCCGCTGCAACGCAGGCATTGCATAGGCCGACCTGGGGCTACCACTAAGGCTAATTCACCGGCGAATCGTATCTGATGAGGTAGGTCTTCGACTTTCATACCGCTTTTCAGCTTAATGAAAACAGTGCGGGTCGTCGAATTCTTCTCATTTACTCCTTCCACACGCCAGCGTTCCCGGGTCACTTCTGTAATTTTCCCGAACGCTGCCAACGCCGTGTGGACATCTTCGTCCGAAACGCCGTGTAACAGCCAGTGAAGCCGCAGCCTCACCTTCTGCTCCTGAGGGTCGATAACGAGGCAGCGGCGTCCCTTGACCTGGAGTTCTTTCAGTTCAGTCAACCTCTTCGTCGCCTCCTGGCTGTTAAAGGTGACGGCCCACACATGGTTGATCTGGTAAGCGCCCAATGCAATTACGTCGGGAAGCAGTCGTTCCTTGTCCAGGGCATCTCGGAAATCTTCGACCTTGAAAGGCCTCACTCGAATATCACCGTGCAAAAACACTGTGTTCACAACAATACGTCCTGTTGGCAGATTTGGCAAGATGATCTCGTAATCCTTGTCACTTTCGTCTGTAATCCTGTTTCCGCGGCCACCAAGGACCGCCTTTGCCGCTCCGCGGGAGCCCATGATTCCTGCGTCCGACGCGTGCGAGTGCCGGCGAAAGAATCACTCGGCTACAAAACCGCGCGGAGCAACACCTCGCGTTTTCTTTACGGACTACTTGCCTAGCCTTCACAGCGTTGCACCTGATGTATGAAACGGAGTATAACGAGACGCTATGTGAGCGTCTACAGTGCCTCGCAACTAACGAGACGCTATGTGAGCGTCTACAGTGCCTCGCAACCAACGAGACGCTATGTGGGCATCTGCAGTGCCTCGCAACCAACGAGACGCTATGTGGGCGTCTACTGTGCCTCGCACCAGCTCACGCCTCTTGGACAGAGCAGCGCATGCCTCTGGTGTACGAGCTCGAGCCGGGAAGACTGACGGAGTAGTTGTTCAGAAAGAGACACGTAGGCGGAACGCTTTTAGCAGACTCTTCTTTGTGACATAGCTACCTTTCTGGGCACAAGTTCGCCCTCAATAAATCATTGTGTGTGTTTCCCCTCTTGCATTACGTGAGATTCTGGTGGAGGTGCGGGGTATGATTGGAAGTCCCCTTGGCGCAAGAGAAAGAAGCCCTGACCCCCAGCGATTGGAGCCTGGCGAACTTACTCTAGTACACCAGCGTTCAAGTCGCCGCCTCCGAGGTGAGTCACCTGAATTCGGACCACTCCTCACTACTCCAGCAACACGGGCAGCGGTAACCGCCAATCTCAGAGAAATGGCCAATCCACCTTCAACATCTGAACTCATCGTGTCTCCCCCATGCTTATCCTGAACCCTGCCACGGTGATGCGCACGAAGATGTAGAAGACTGGCTGGAGCATTTCGAGCGGGTCGCAAGGACCAATGTCTGAGATGATGCGAGGAAATCGAACCACGTGTACTTTGCGTTGGAGGATGGAGCGAGAATATGGTTTGAGAACCACGAAGGGGCAATAACGACGTGGGAAGACTTTCGGCAGCAGTTGCTTGCAGCGTATGCCAGCACGGATTGCCCGGAAAGGGCAGAAAATGCCCTTCAATCAAGAAACCAACGCACGAACGAGAGTTTCAGCATGTATATCGAGAACATGTCCCGCCTCTTCAAACGAGCCGATCCGAACATGACCGAAGAAAAGAAAGTGCGCCATTTGATGCGTGGAGTCAAACAGGACTTATTTGCGGGCCTGATTCGCAATCCTCTATGTACCGTTGCTGAATTCCGCACAGAAGCCACGACCATAGAAAGAGTACTGCAGCAGCGTGCCCGTCACTACAATCGGGATGCCGGTAGTGAGCCCGCGGGTGTCCTTTTGGCAAAGCGGGACAACAGCAACGAGACGCTGAGGGAGCTGGTGCGTTCCATCGTCAAAGAGGAGCTTCGTAACATTCTCCAACCGCGAGTCATGCCGACATTTTCATCCCTCACATCCGTCATCCGTGACGAAGTTCGGCACGCCATTCTTCAGCCGGAACCAGAAGTGCAACCTCTTCGACTTCAACAACCCCTGCAGGAACGCCATGTATCAACGTACGCAGACGCTTTACGCCAACCTGCCGTCCACAATGCCTCGTTCGCGACTCTCGGTGCCCGCCAGTCAGCTTCGACCAGCCCACCTTTTCTTGGAGAGCAGAGACCACGGAAAAGCGATGTGTGGCGCACACCTGACAGGACACCGCTCTGTTTTCACTGCGGAGAAGCTGGACATCTTTACCGACACTGTCCATACCGAAGGGTCGGTCTGCGTGGGTTTTCTGTATATGCTACATGCCCGCGTAATGGTGAAAGGTCTACAGAAATAGAGGAGTACCTTTCAAGGCACGAATCTCCAGCCGCTAGCTTCCAGCACCAGCCAAGGTCACCAGCACTAAATCTTTATCGATCGCCAAGTCCGCGACGTTCAAGTTCACCATCAAATTCACGAAACCATCGGTAACGAGCCCGCGTCAGGAAAACTGAAGCCAGCGACCTGGGAAGGCAAGGCCGCTGATGTCCGACAGAGCAAAGATCCTCCGTCAAGGCCCCAGCGAAGCAGCGACGAGCAGAAAATGACGACGAATATAAGTAAAGAAAATATTTCTTAAGACTTGCGTGTTACTATGGACGGGCGGGAATTTAACGTACGGGAATTTGGTTGATACTGGTGCCGATTATTCAGTCGTAAGCTATGCAATCGCAAAAGATTTGAAGAAAGTTTTGACGCCTTGGAGTGTACCAAAAATACGCACGGCTGGGGGCCATCTGATAACACCTCTGGGAAGATGCACCACCTGGATCGGCATTCAGGGTGCCACTTAGGTCGCTGATTCCCTAGTTCTGCCATAATGCTCGAGAGACGTAATAATCGGAATGAATTTCCTGCCAGATGACGGGCCATGATAAACCGGCAGAATTCTAGTATTTCTTTTTCGACAAAGCTGGCCATAGACGAGAAGACGGGAAGTTCTGCGTTGTGTATTATCGACGGTGACGTAACCGTGCCACCACGATGCAGCGTCCTGGTTGGCGTAAGGAATGACGCATTTGTCGACACTGAAGGAATAGCGGATGGCAATGTTGAGCCGCTGCTAAAGAAAGGTATTTGCATAGCTCGAGGCATTATTCGCTTACGTGGTGGGCTTGCCAACGTACTGCTCACTAATTTCGGAAATGAAATTCAGCATGTCGCAAAAGACACTGCCATTGCTTTTCTACACAGCTTTACTGAAGTTACCGACTTATATGCCGTTGCGTCAGAGCCGCCTACTTCGGAAACTACGCATGACCTTGGAACATCAGTTTCAATAAGCCGAAGTCTATCGCCAGCCGAGAGGAAAATCCTGGAAGACCTGATAGATGAATTCGCAGAATGTTTTTCCACCTCATCAAAAGTACGTCGCAGGCAGATCGTGAAGCACAGGATTATAACAGAGGAAACAACCAGTCCAGTGTATCAACACCCTTACAGAGTTTCGCCAAAAGAACGAGAGGTTATAAACAGCCAGGTGCAGGAGATGTTGCAGGATGATGTCATTAAGCCATCTAGCAGCCCGTGGGCATCGCTGGTAGTTCTCGTGAGAAAAAAGACAACACGTTGAGATTCTGTGTAGACTACCGGAAACTAAAGAGCGTAACCAAGCGCGAGATGTATACCGCTTACCACGTATTGATGACACATTGGATCGGCTACGGCACGCCAGATATTTCTCTTCGCTCGACTTAAAAAGCGGAGATTGGCAAATCGAAGTGGGTGAAAGAGACCGTGAAAAGACCGCTTTCGTAACCCCGGATGGCTTGCACGAGTTTAAAGCACTACCTTTCGGCCTCTGTTGTGCGCCAGCGACATTCCAGCGCATGATGGACAGTGCCCTCAAGGGGCTGAAGTGGCAGTCATGCCTAGTCTACTTTGACGATGTTGTGGTATTTTCTGCGACGTTTGTCCAACACGTAGAGAGACTGCGGTCAGTGCTTCAGGCTATCCAGTTGGCCGGCTTGACAATCAAACCAGAAAAGTGCCAGTTCGGCTCCGACAAGCTTCGTTTTCTGGGACACGTCATCAGCACGGAACGTGTTGGTCCTGATCCTGACAAGACTGCGGTGGACGCAGGATTCCGAAAGCCCACAGACAAGAAAGAGGTGCGTCGATTTTGGGGTTTATGCGCTTACTACAGACGGTTTGTAGAAAATTTCTCAAAAATCGCCGAACCTCTAAACAAACTCACAAAAGACGAAGAATCATTCGCTTGGGGTGCAGAACAAGAAACAGCTTTCAACAAATTAAAGCAATATTTGCAAAGCCCGCCGATCTTTGCCATCTTCGACGAGACCGCTGACACGGAATTCCATAAAGACTCAAGTAATATTGGTCTCGGCGCAGTACTCGTGCAATGGCAAAATGGACAAGAAAAAGTGATAGCTTACGCCATCCGAACCCTATGAAAAGCCAAAAAAAACTATTCCGCGACAGAAAAAGAGTGTTTGGTAGTGGTATGGGCTATCAGCAAGTTCAGATCATACCTCTACGAAAGGCCGTTCTGTGCCGTCAGCGACCACCACTCACTTTGCTGGCTGGCGAACTTAAAAGACCCGTCGGGACGTCTCGCCAGATGGAGCCTCCCACTGCAAGAATACACATCAACAGGCCCAGATGTCATTCCAATTAGGCTAGTAAAGACATTAGGTCCGAAGTCTAAGCAAGCTTTGAGAGAGGCAGTGAGCAAAATAATAATCGATGGTGAAGTTGCCGATGGATGGAAACTTAGCAGCATGAGCATGATCTATAAAGGAAAGGGGGACAAAGCTGACATTAACAACTACCGTCCTATAACAGTGACATCAGTGGTCTACAGGCTGGCGATGCAGATTATAAAGGAAAGACTGCAGGCGTGGATAGAGGATGAGGGGGTGCTGGGGGAACTGCAGAATGGGTTTCGGAAACACAAGAGGTTGGAAGACAATCTGTTCTCACTGACGCAGTGCATCGAAATAGCAGAAAAGGAACATAGGCCCCTGTGGCTAGCATTCTTGAATATCAAGGGAGCGTACGATAGCGTGGTTCAAGAGGAATTGTGGGGAATACTGGACACACTAGGCGTGGAACATGTAGTCACTAATCTTTTAAAGGGTATCTATAAAGGTAACAAGATAGTTATAAAGTGAGAAAAACAGGTATCCAAGCCTGCAGAGGTAAAAGGGGGCTTAGGCAGGGGTGCCCCCTGTCACCCTCATTATTCATGATGTACCTACAAGGATTAGAGGCAAAATTAGAAGGGAAGTGGACTGGGCTTCAACCTCTCTTTAGTCAAACAAGGAAAACTTATTGATCAGGCACTACCAGCATTAATGTACGCAGATGATATAGTGCTAATGGCCCACAACAAGGAAGATTTGCAGAGATTGATGGACATCTGCGGTAATGAGGGAGATAGGTTAGATTTTAGATTCAGTAAGAAAAAATCAGCAGTCATGATTTTCAATGACAACGAAGGTAGTGAGCTTAGAATACAGGACGTCACGCTAGAGATAACAGATAAATACAAATATCTGGGCGTATGGATAAGCAATGGGACCGAGTACCTGAGGGAACACGAAACATACGTGACGACTAAAGGTAACAGGAATGCAGCAGTGATGAAAAATAGGGCACTGTGGAATTACAATAGGTATGATGTTGTGAGAGGAATATGGAAAGGGGTCATGGTTCCTGGGCTGACGTTCGGCAACGCGGTCTTGTGCATGAGATCAGAAGTTCAAGCAAGATTAGAAATTAAGCAACGTGGAATAGGTAGGCTTGCTTTAGGAGCTCACGGGAATACACCAAATCAGGGAGTACAAGGTGATATGGGATGGACATCATTTGAGGGCAGGGAAGCCAGCAGCAAGATAAAATTTGAGAAGCGATTGAGAGAAATGAAGGAGGAGCGTTGGGCTAGGAAGGTTTTCAGCTACTTGTACATGAAGAATGTCGATACAAAATGAAGGAAGTGAACCAGGAAGTTGACTGGTAAATACTTAGAAAACAGCAGGGGGCCAAACCAAAAAGAACTATCGGTCAAGAAGAAAGTAAAGGAAACGGAGACTGACATGTGGAAAATGGGCATGATTAAGAAGTCCGCACTAGAGATCTATCGAACTTTCAAGCAGGAAATATCCAAGGAAAGGATCTATGATAATACTCGGGGTAGTTCTCTACTGTTTGAGGCAAGGACGGGAGTACTGCGAACCAAGACATATCGGGCCAAATACGAAGGGGTAGACACAGTATGCAGTGCGTGTGGAGAGGAAGAAGAAACTGCCGAACACTTGATAATGTTCTGTAAAGGGCTTCACCCTATAGTTCAGGATGATGGCGCAGAGTTTTTCAAAGCACTGGGGTTTAGGGACCGGGAGGGCAAAATAGACTTTAAGCAAGTAGACTTAACTAGAAGGAGGTTATCTGATTGGTGGCTAAAGTCAAGGCGAGAGTGAAAATTAAACTCTTCACTGCAAAGTACGAATCTTCAAACTCACTTTTTAAGGAAAAAATAAATAAATATAGTTTTGAGTTCATTAAGTATTACGGCTTGGTGGCGCTAGACACCGCCCGATCTAAAGGGTACAGCCATATCCATCCATCCATCCATCCATACGACATACCGGTCTGGGCGAAAACACAATGATGCCAATTCCTTATCACGCTCGCCACCTGACTCTACTCCTTCAGAAGAAGACGACTCGACACTTCTCTGTGTGATGGAAGCCTCAGATAATTGCGGAGCATCAACGAGCTGACGCAGAACTGCTCCCATTAATCGAACACTTCGAAGGGCGTGCAGGCCAGGTCCCGCGTGTATTAAAGAGAACATCTTGAATCTGTCTCCGTGAAAATGTGCTATACAAAAGGAACTTCGGGCATAACAAAGAGAAGTTCTTGCTCGTCGTTCCGTTAGCAATGAGACTCGAAATACTTGAAGCTTGTCATGATGAACTATCATCTGGTCACTTGGGCGTCAGCCGGACATTTGCCAGAATTCATCAGAAGTATTACTGGCCCAAGCTGCTGGC